AACCTTGAACCTGAATCTAGGGATGATGATAAAGTGATTCTGATCCACTAGGTCTGAGATTTTGCATTTCTACAAGCTCCTGGCTGATACCAGTGTGCTGCTACTGCTGGACTACAATTTATTTATTTATGCTATGTAGTTCAGGCTGGCCTTGAACTCACGATGTAGCTCAGGCTGGCCTCAAACTCATGGCAATTCTCCTGCCTCAGCCTCCTAGCGGTGGGATCACAGGCATGCACCACCACACTCCTTCAGCTGGACTGCAATTTAAATGGCAATGTTAGCTAAGAGCAGAGATGCCATGTCTGAGGAACTTTCATAGGGAGAAGTCCAGCAGGCCGTGGGAAATGTGCATTTTGGAGTCAGGACACTCAGGTTTAGAAACTATAAGCACGAAATTGATAACTGAAGTTATGGGACTAGATGAGATTGCTCTTCTTCAATTATTTACTAGGTACTAACAAGGTAGGTGGGGAGCGCAGTCAGCCTTTTTCCATTGAGTGTGGATTATGCAATTATGTAGGGGCTCATAATGTTTAATTCTGAAATTTATTTATTTTTTTTGTGAAGGGCTTTTGTTTAATACATCTGAAAAGAATGCATATACAAAGATTGAGACATGAGAAAGCATTGGTTCAACACTAATGTAATCTACAAGTATTAGGATTTTGGGGAAGGTGAAAAAAATTACCTAAACATTTTAAAACTTGGAATCTGTAACAAAAATAAGGTGATAAAACCCCTATTAACACTTACGAAAACAGTCTTCATAAGACTCCTTGTATGAACTTTATTAAACTAGAGAGCCTCAACCGGTTGCAATAGGGTTCCTCATATGCAAAACAGAAATAAGGGGATTTCCCTAGCTGGTCCCCATGTTGGTAAGTGTTCTTCCCCGCCCCCACCCACCCCCAGCTTCTTAATGAAGCAGGCCTGCATCCTCATAACCTGAAAGAGGATGCCAGTTATCCCCCAGGCATCTGTCTTGTAGCACCACCCCTAATATTTCCTCCATGTGTAAGATTTTCAGCTGGGTTCTAGGAACACCAAACACCACTGAGTTGCAAACCTATGCCAAGCATATAAGACAATGACTGACAGGGGGAAAATTTTTAAATTACAAACTCAATCCATTTGGTGTATTTCAAAAGATGCAATACTTTTCTTCATTTATCAGTGAAAGAAGTTAAAATTAACTTCAAAAAAGAAATTAGCAAATGGCAAACAAATTTCCTTGAAAGTCACAGTCGCATATAGAGTTCATCCTAGAAAAGAGGATGGGCAAGACAGCTTCCACCCACTTTCATGAGTTTCATCAAATACTGGATCTACTCAAGGGTGGAGAGAAAAAAGGCAACTTTCAAAAAGGAGTATATTATTAAATGAGGCATTTACTATACTCCTTCCTAAGAGCACCAGGTAGGGAACACGTTTTTCTAAACTAGATCTAGGAAGTGGAATGTGGAATCAATCCGTCCTCCTCCCCTAAGGGCTTTCCACTGGTTAATGAACTAAAAAAACAAGACTAAAAAACAAACCCCCACATACACTCCCCGCCAAAAAAGAAGGGGAAAAAAAATACTAAGATGTCCCAGATTACTCTCAAGTGGAACCAGGGAGCAGCTTCAACAATTCAAATTAGTCTGTTACAGAGTCATCACAAGCATGCCTTACTTTTTAAACAACAACAAAAAAAGTTTTTTTGAAACAACAAAACAAAAACTAGTACTGATCACTTTTCTGACAATCACAATTACTCAAAATTAACTAGTACTGGGAGGGGTGGGGGGCATACCTATTGGCCTTGTTTCACACGAGTGCATGTGGGTAGGTGAAGGGCATTTGTCATTATTGCAGAAACGAATTTTAATTTTTAATCTTTAGTTTGATTTAAACATTGCTTTTAGTATGATGCCGACACCAGCTGTGCAGAAAGGGATCTGGAGAGATGTTCATAGCAGCACACACCTGCGGCTCTTCTTCGGTTCTGGAGGTTCCAGGGCAGCCAATATTGCTTCATCAAACACATTCTTTAGGCCTTTCTGTGTGAGTGCAGAACACTACACATACTTGACAGCCTTCAGATCTCGGGCCAGCTTTTCAGCAGTTTCTGGAGTGATAGGTTTCTGTTTGTTCTTGGCAAGTTTCTCAATAGTAGAGGGGTCATCTCTGAGATCAATTTGGGTCCCAACAAGCAAGAAAGGAGTCTTTGGACAGTGGTGAGTTATCTCAGGCACCCACTTTTCTTTCACATTTTCAAATGAGGATGGAGAGACCACTGAAAAACAGACTAGAAATACATCTGTTTGTGAATAACTCAATGGTCATAGTCTGCCATAATCCTCTTGTCCTGCAGTATCAAAAAGTCCAAGAGTATATGGCTCTCCACCAATCATAACTGTGACTGCATAGTTGTCAAAAATGGTTGGTACATATTCAGATGGAAATTTGTTTGTTGTATAAGATATCAGGAGACATGTTTTATCAACAGCACCATCGCCCACAACAACGCACTTAATTGTCTGCATTGTGGAAATAGTTTAAATATTTCAAATTTGATGTTGACCTCAGCTTCTCTGCCGGGGCGTTGGCAGCAGTGCACGGGGTCTCCTCGGCGGCCGGCTGAAATTCTATTTTTAATGAGAACATTAAGCCTACTGATTTATCAAATACATCTTTTTCAGCAAGGAAGTATTTCTATTAAAAAGACTATCAAGTTGCTGAAATATTAATGGTAGGACAGTATCATGTAACATCTGAAAAGAATGTAATTGTTGAATTCTGGATTTTGATAGTACCCAAAATTAGGTTCTGTATTTTAATAGGGATATTGAGAAAATAAGATCCCGAGTAATGAATTGTGAAATGGCTCAATTAATAATTGTGTTTAATTACTTTAAGAACAATTTCCCAGTTTTTAGGACAGTGAAAGAGATTGCCAAGGCATATTATGAAATGTTCCCAATTAGGTATTTATATTAATTGGCTAGATGATAATTATGGGATGGACAGATGTGGCTCCACCTGGGGTCAGAAAGATCAATTTGATGGCCACAGAGCAGACTTTGGACCACAGGCGTCTGCTTTATGTTTGTTGTGTGATAGCTCGTCTCATTTTCTTACATATTTACAGTGGGTTTTTTCAATTATGCTTACTTCCTGAGTGTCATAGACACTTCTGACATGGCTCATGGTAAATGACACTAATGATTAGTTTTCATCTGGAGTCTGAAGTCCAACATGGTTTCAGGGAGCTAATGTTTTGTATCGCAGGTTCTCTGGCAAGAATGTGCGGTGTGCCTCTGTGCTTACTCAGCCTATGTGGTGACAGCCACATCTGCTTCTCCATCTGCAGCTTTCAGATCTGGCAGTATTGTTAGCTGTCTGTAACACTTAAGAACCGCCTGTATCTGCTGAAGGAAACAACCCAGAATGAAAAAATAATCTCTATTTTCTACAAGAACTTCCCTAAAACAATAGTTTTGGGGACTGATGGGAGGATTTCTTATGATTAAATAATTATTGAAGCTGTGACTGTCAAGTAGAGATATGTATAAACATGTACAGAGCCTACTTTTATTTAAGAGAAATACAACCACAAAATGTCTTTAATAATGGTGTAGCTTTGGTGTATGTTATATATGATTGTTTCCAAAATAGATATTTTAATAAATAAAATCTAAAATTATCTGTGTAGAATAAAAACCCCAAAACATTAACATAGGACACTAGACATGTCAATCATTCTGCCCAGGTCCTCCCACTTGCATTTCTGCTAAGCTCAGCCAGCCTCAGTTTATCCCTTCAGCAAGGTGGTGGGATTGAGTTTCCTAAGGGCAGCCCATCCCTAGACCATGACCTACCTGCTGACCTATGAAATGACTCAGCACAAAAAATTTCCCTGGTAAGGGTAAGAATAATTAACTAGACCAATTATACTTTTTTTCCTTGAAAGATTGAATGGGAAAATTCAGAGAGCACCAGCCATTCTGTAATGAGAGGAAAAAGGAAAGACAGAGAAGAAACAAGAAGTGGAAGGAGTAAATTGATGGTGGAACCTCAGGGAGAAGGTTCCTTAACTTTTTTTTGGTACGGGGATTGAACTTGGGTCCTTGAGCTTGTAAGGCAGGCGGCAAAACCACCAAGCTAAATCCCCAGCCAAGATTCCTTCACTCTTGGTGGTTCTTCATGGCCCTGAATCCTGAACCATGGCTGCTTCTGGGATCTGTCACTCTCCTGTCACCCTCCGCTCCAAATGCACTCATTTCATACCATAACTGCTCCTAATTTGAGAATTAAATTTATCTGTAGAATATAGATCAGAGTGACCATGATAATTTACCTTTTGGCCTGTGTGTATTGCAAAGAAGAGGGTTCAGTATTGAGAAAGCAAGTTAGAAGTGAAACGCATGGCAAGTTGGGACAGTCCAGGAGTGCACTGTTTTTTCTCATCTGTCCACTCCGAACACAAAAGGTTCATGCAGTCTATGTGCCTTTCTAACAGTATCCAGCAGGATTTCGAATTTACTGCTTTCTGAAAATAACAGAGGGCTCTAACAAGTGATGGGAGTTGCTTATGATTCACTGCACACCTTTGCGACTGGTGCATTGACCGAGTGAGCAAAGATTATGGATAATAATTATGAAAGCTTTTGTTTTTCCTGTTCCACTCTCAGCCCCTGTGAAAACTGTTTTGTTTTGAGCCAAGTGTGGTAGCACATGCCTGTAATCCCAGCACTCTGGCAGCCCGGGCAATTTAGTGGCTTATGGAGACTGTCTCAAAAGAAAAAAAGGACTGGGGATGTAGATCAGTGTGAAGGCGCTGGGTTCAGTCCTGAGTACTGAAAAATAAAGCTGTCAAAAAGAAAAAAATAAATAAAGCTGTTTCCAACTACCCCTTTAAACCCCTCAAGTGAATGTCTTTCTCTTGAGTGCTTGTACTCTTTATTTTCTTGAGTGTATACTTTTTTCTTATAAATAAATCCTTTCCGAGTTTAAAGATGGCAGCCTCGGTAGTGAGGGGTGCCCTGGCACTGTGTACGAATTTTACTCGGCAGGTTGCTTTTGTCCAGAAAATTCCTTGGACTGCAACAGCCGATGAGCTGAGAAAACACTTTCCTCACTTTGGCCATATATGAAAGTGCATTCTTTGCAAAATAGGAAGAAAAGGTCCCAAGGGGTAGGGGTAGTGGGAGGGGCAGGGGAAAGGAAAGAAGGGAAAGGAAAAATGATGAGAAATGGAAAAAATGGAAATAAAGTCTTTGTAAATAGGGAAGTGTGGAGGGGGTGAAGGGAGGGCTAGGAATGGGGAAAAAATAAGAACCAAGATGCATTATGTAAAGGTAAAAAAAAAACAACAAAGTGCATTCTTCCTTTTGATAAAGAGACTGGCTTGCATAAAGGTATGTGTTGGATTTACTTTTCTTCAGAAGAAGCACTTCAGAATGCAGTGCAACATGAAAATCACGTAGTTGATGGAGTAAAGGTCCACATTCAAGTTCAAAAACCAAAAATTTTGCAAGGGGATCAAACATCTGATGAAAGAGAAAGATTTCTGAGATGATTAAACCCATTAAATAAACACAAAACAGAAAAAAAATCTTTTCCATACTTCTTATTGAATAGTCCCAAAAATTCTTTATCTGTGATGAATTAGTGAACCTACAACCTTCCCCATGGGTGAGGTGAATCCAGGTTCCTCACGTCTGCTTTGGGGTCCTCCTTGGACCCCATCTGGGGACATTTCTTTTGGTGAACCAGCTCTAAGAGATAAAGAGGCATCAGGACTTGATTTTGGTAAGTCCAGCTGAAAACTTCTCATTTTTCTTCTCCTTTGCCTCCTTTGGCTTCTGATGCATAGGTTATTTTTTTCTTTACCCTCCCTTCCTTCTTGCTCTCTCTTCTCTCATTCTCATATGTGCCACTCCATTCTGTCTATTTCTCTCTCTCTCAAACTTCTGTAGCTTTGGGTTTTTCCTCTTCAGCAGCCAGAGTCTTCTAGAAATCCCTAGAAAAAGAGTGCCTACAACTAAAAGCACCAAAGATACAAGACCCTTGCTCTTGCTAACCAGAAATGAGAAAAGGTGTCAAGAGTTATGCTCTAGGTTGAGTAATATCCTCATTAGCTATTCCTTCAGATCAACATACCCCATTCTTGGGTCAGATTGAACTAAAACTTGCTTACTAGGGAGCACAAATAAAGGTAGACCCATACAGTGACTCAAGCAAAGTTTCTCATGCTCATGGTGTGGGAAACCTAGTCCTAAGGCAGTGGTGAGAACTGGCCTCAGGATGGCATGAAGAAAGCTATCTCTCCAAGTCATGCATCTCTGGGTCCTGAACACATTAGATGAAAGGAGATCCTCCAAATTACTCTTCTTTTAATCCTCCTCTCTCTCCTTCACCTCTCTTACTCTCAAAAACTGAAAGGCCTAACCTTGGTCCACCTAATGTCATGGTTCCCCCGACCCCTGCCTCTTTTTTTTTTTGATACTGGGGATCAAACTCAGGACCTTGCACTTGCAAGGCAGGCGCAGCGCCACTGAGCTAAATCCCCAGCCCTCATGGCTCTCCTTTTTGGGTGGTTGGGGACATATCTCAAACTGTGAAGATCCAGTGGCCATCTAGGTGATAGTGATGCTATCCTTGGGGCCTGGTAGAGTTTATCTACTAAAACGGAGAAGGAGCCCATTGGTTTTCTTTCCTTTTTCTCTCTTTCCTAAAAACGCATTCTCCTTCTTGTCCTTTCTCCCTCCCACTCAAAGGCTTTCATAAACTCTCAGGAAACTCAGATCTTTTAATATATTTTGTGATATCTCTTAATGGGGAGAGCTAGGGAGCTAGATGGATAGGGATAACTGGGAGCTTGTGTTTTCTCATTGCTCCAGGGGGACAATTACTCTTCCTCTGCCTGCGAGAGGCACCCTCCCTTTGTGTCCTGCCTGTGTTGCTGCTAACACAGAGGAAAGTAGGTTGTTCTCAGGTTACTGAGGTGACAAAGGCCAGAAACATTCCCCTTCCTCTAGGCTGTACTTAAAGATACCTGCCCCGCTGGATGGGCTCTCAGCCCACTGCAGCTGTCCAGTGTGTCCACGGTGAGCTTCCTGGGTCACAGAGCCATCTGCCCTGGGGCTACCAACAGCTCTCACAGTATATTCTGGGGTCTCATTGGGTGCTTCTCTAATACTGGCTTGCTCCCTTCCTCCACCTGGCTTTGGTTTGTTTTAATGATAACTTCAGCCTCAAGTTTATTCCCCTATCTAAAACTTACGTGTTTTTTAGTCACTATGCACAGAAGCATCTCCAGACCTTTTTTATTTATTTATTTTTTTAAAAAAAACCTCTTCATGAGCTCTTTACATATGTTATAGATCCCTAGATAGAAAGACTTTTGGGGTGACTTTTTAAGTGAAGCCCAGCCCTTATGTATGATTTTTCTGATTTATTATGAAAGTTGCAAACAAGCTTTTGAGTACTTTCTGGGGCTCAATGCCTGGAAGTAGTTGTATGCCAGGGACAGGGATGCTTGTTTTCCTCTCTCTGTAATGCGGATGGGACTGGCTGGCCTTATCCTGTGAGTGATTTCTGTGTGACTGGTAGGGAATCTTGGAGTAGACATGATGGAAAATTGGGGTGAGATGCTGCTTGGGCAGCTTGACCTGGGAAAGTTGGAGTGGGCAGCGTGTGCAGCCTGACCCTGGAAAGTTGGGGGAGGTTGCTTAGGTAGTCTGACCTTGAGAGAAAATTGGGGGCAAGGTGCTTGCTTGACCCCAGATGGAGAACCTAAAAGCATCCTGCCTTTCCTCTTTATCTCTTTTCAAAACTATACAAGGGAGATCCTAAAACATGCATATAGCTTAAAAGATTATGGGTGACTCAACACCTACTTGCAAAATGTCACGTCTAGGTTGTATTTCACACAACTGGGGAAGTTTTTAAAAAGAGGATTTAAACAAAGTTGAGTCTTCTCTATTTCTTTAAATGTAAGTTAAAGAGTAAAAAGACAAGGTCTCAAACTTGACTCTATAATAAAGAAGGGAAAATGAGCAAAGATTCCACGTAGCAATCTGCAATTCTTTTCACCTTCTTCTGACACTTACTAGTTTAACTCTGGAGTTAACTGTCTTACTTGTGTCATTGCTGAGACAAAATATCCAACACCCAAAGTCAGGGGAGGAAAGGTTTATTGAGCTTACAGTTTGTAGAGGTTTCAGTCCATAGTTGGCTGGCTCCAAGGCAGAGTGGCATGGCAGAGGGGCATCGCAGAAGAGAAACAGTTCATGCCAAGCAGAAAGTAGCAAAGCAATAGCAGCAGCTGTCTTTCTGTCCCTTTATATCCTATCGAGGCTATAAGCCTATTGATGAGTGTCACCCACACCCAAGGTAGAGCACCCTTCATCCCAGCATCACACCCTTAATCTCAGTGTCACACGTCCTAATCCAGCTTCCTCCAAAAAGCCCCGCCTCTGACTGCATGAAGCTTTAAGGGACATCTAGCTACAAGTCATAACACTAATAGAAAAAAACAAAGTACTCAGAGTAGGCTGGAGTATTAAAAAAAAAGTTATGATATTACATAAGAATAAAAAGTGCTAACTGATATTCCCTAGGGAGAATTCTGATTGTTTCTTTATAATTTTAAACCTAAAACAAAAAGATTATAATTTTAAGATAGCCGGTGCATCTAAAAGTACACTCTGATTTAATGTAATTGTTTTGTATCATACATTTTATTTTTTGTTTCTTTTTATCTGCCTGCCTGGTAATCTGTGTTTTTAATAATTGGCTAAAGTCCCTGCAGCTGTTTTATTTAAAATTGTTTTTCAGCTCATCAATTTCTTTTTTATTTTTTTGCCTTTGCTGACTTCTGGCTCTGTTAGGGCTTTTATGAACCAAACCAAAACAAAACAAAAGAAGGCAAAACCAAAACCAAAACAAACAAAAACTCTGAACTGGTTTATACAGATATTCATTCAAGGGTTAACAAACTCACTTAAGACATTATACAAATAGATGAAACATGTGAGGCTCAAGGTTTAAATAAAACTTGCAAATAAGAACCTTGAAGTTTGGTAATATAAAGATTATGCAATTTAATAATTGGCTAATTGGTATTTCTGTATGTTAACTTTCAGGTACGTATATCTACATGTTATCCTTCAAAAGTTCTATTTCAGTTGGTTTATAGATAAGTGTAGGCTCATGTAATTAGCCCAAATGTCTTTTGTTCATTAAAAATGAGCTAATTTAAATTGGTTGGCAAAGTAAGAGTAAAGATGTTATATTATAACATGTTTTGCTTAAGTTGTTAGCCAATCAAGATGAGAGTTATCTGTGTTTAAATTTTTTTTTTTTTGAGACATGATCTTACTATGTATTTCACACTGACCTTGAATTCACTATGTAGGCCAGGCTGGCCTTGAACTTGTGGCGATCCTTCTGCCTCAACTTCTCGAGTGCTAGGATTACTGGCATGTGCCATTACAATCAGTTCTTAAATATTTTCTTTCTTTCTTTTCTTTTGGTACCAGGGATTGAACTCAGGTCCTTGCGCTTGTGAGGCAGGCGGCAGAACCACTGAGCTAAATCCCCAGCCCGTTTAAATGTGTTCTTAAATCCAATGTCTATTATCATTTGTGTACAATAACTTAAGAGTTTTTCTTTCATTAAAAAATATATAGCTTAATGTTTACTATGTTATGCTTTCATTCTTATGAGTGATCTCAAGTAATTGTTAAAATGAATAAATATAAATGGGATTAATGCCTTTAAATATTTATAACAACATCTGAATTATCAGTTATTAATTACAAGTGTTCTTGGCTTATAGCTTATGAAAAGATAATATATATTTTGGTCTATTAAATATGTTTTCATAAATTGTTAATGTATAAAAGAGGAAAGGTTTAAATTGCTTTTTTCACAACATTGCTAAGAGTTAAAAATCCTAATGCATAATCCCATATATAAAAAAAGATGGATTTTTTTTCCCCCTGGGAGTCCTTTGGGCCCTTGGGGCTGCTGGAGCAGTCTTCCTCCATGGCTGAAAAAAGCAGCCATTTGAACCAATTTGCTTCAGTTCCCCACTTAGGATCCCAATGTGCCTCAGTAAATGTTATTTTAAAAGAGATTATTACATGTAATTAAGCTGGCTATAACTAAAAAGTTGAAGAATATTCTATGTCTAAAGCAATAAGGTTTTCTTAAGATATTGAAGTACTCCTTTTTATTTGCTATCATTTTCTATTTGTACATGTTTGCAGTACATAATTTTCCATTCCTTGTGTGGAGTTGGTACATGTACATAAGACATCTTAATTCTTTTATTCATCCCCTTTCCCTCTCCTACATCCTTCTTCTTCCACCTCTTGACCCCCTTCCTCTTTGAGAAAGGACTGTTTCCTTACTACCTATTGTCTATCCTTTACTGTGCTCTTTATTTTTATTCTGGGTTTCTCATATAAGAGAAACTGTCAAGGTTGGGGAGCGAAGGGTATTTTCAAGGGTAAAGAAAGCCAACATCAGCAACAAGACCAGGACCAAACATCTTTACTCCTTGGCTCT